AGAACACCCCTTTAGCAAAATGACTTCCTATGTTCAACATACTATATGTGAGACCAGTGTAGGAATGACCAGTATTTTTCCTTTGTATTTCCACAATAGCAGTAACCAAAAAAGATGACCTTTGAACTCCCCTCATCTGCATTACTGGCAAATTCTGAAAACCAAAATGCCACGTCCCTTCCAAGCATTGAGTGTACTTGTGGAGATGAAACAAACCCAAAGAGAATCAGAACTAGTTCTAAACAATTAGAACTTATGGTTTAACTAATTATTAAAATTATAAAAATTACAGAAAAATTTTTAAAATCTGCTTTATATTTTTCAAAGATGTGGCAGAAAGTTATTTCTAACACTATCATGGATGTACTATTGTATTCTAAATTAAGTTTTAATTTGTTTTAGAACTCTCTTAAATATTATTTGTAAATTAGGGAAATAAATATTTTAAAAGGAAGTTTCTTTGGAATAGGATGTTTAAAATTATATTTAAAACAACCAAAATTGCATCTCTGGTTGCTTACTCTTTCTACAACATAGCAGTATTTCTCAACAGCAAAGGTCAAATTTTTATTCATATATACAAGAAAGGACAGCATTTTGTCATACTTGCAATAGATAGTGTGAACATATTATCAATATATTTTAAAATAAGTTTATTTTTCTATTACTATCATATAAGAGTAGAGTGATGTTCACATGCCCTGCTACCACAGTTTATCTTATAGCCAATATAAAGGTAGCTCTTCAAGAACTCTCTTAAAATGACAGCTAAGCTGAAGGAAAACATGTTTTCTTCAAATTAGAAAGGTTAAATTCCTGCTTTTAAAAAATGGCCACACTTAGTGAAGAGGTGTGAATAAAGTTTACCATAATATTATGAAAAAAATGTTAATCATTCCTAGAGGAATTATTAAAGATACCAATCCACACCCCCTTACCTTGAAAAAGCAGTAATAATCATATCATTCAATTATGTAAAAGAATAAGAACAAGTTTACCTTTATGCAAACATGGAAAGAAACACCTGATAAAAGCCTTAGAAAGACAGGAACTTTACCACCCCATTATGTCCAAGTCATATAAAAATATGATTTCATCTTATTTGTTACTTTTACATAGAAGTGCATTTTCTGTTACTAGGAGTTTTTTTTCCTAATCCATGATTCAAATAAAAATCACTTGTTCCCAAACCCATAGAAGGGCTGTTTAAAGGGAAAAAACCATACCCCGTTCAGTTTTTCTTCTGGGTATCCCTAGCCTTTCAACCAAAGAACTATTAAAAGCTAAGAGACTGTCATCTTCCTTTGAACGGTTACAGGAGTACCCGTTAGTGTCAGCAGATTATATAATATTGTCCATTAGTTTATAATCCTTTTAGAAATTTTTTAAAAATTTATATGTATTTATTCATTTATATATATATATATATATATATATATATATACACGCACACACACACACACACACACACGGTGTGGTAAATGTAGGTTTATAGTTGTAAGTGCATGGAACACAGAGCTCATTCATATATTATTTATTAATCATTGTATTATTTTCCATAAGAACAACTGCAAACCTACTTTTGCCCATCCTGTATATCTTTAAATGCTAGTTGAAAAACAAATTTATTTATTTAGACTGCCACATACTCAATCCCTGTTTAAATAGCTTTGGTGAATTCCCATGGAAAGCAAATTCAGCTAGAAAGCATCTCTTACATCTTAAACTTTTGATACAGATGCATTTATGGCAACCAAATCAGTTAAAAACTTTTTAAAATCACAGATGGATTAGATATTTAGTTTTAAAAACCATTACTTGTTTAGCAAAATATTTGCAAGACCCACACTACCATTATAACAGAAAGTCTAACTTTGGTTTTCTGTAACATTGGACCAAATTTGCTCCCTTATGTAATCAAACTGTTCTATTTTTGCTTTCCTACCCCCAAATTATTTCATCACTACCATTAGGAAAAGAAAGATTATGTTCCGATTTGGAATTAATGCTATCTCTTACTGGTTGTTCCATAAACTGGAAATCATACAAGCTATAAGTATTGCAGGCTCATAAAAATGTCTGTCTTAAGTGTACGTTCTTTAGGATCAGATGGCTCCACAAACCTGTGTGGGGAATTCACTCTAAATTGATTTAATATACTGACCTCAAAAGAGATGAATTGATATTATATGCATAGTGTCATTAGGCTAACAGGAAGTTCAAATTACATTTTTAATACATTCTGCATCTATTCATCTTCCAGTTCATTTTGCAAATATAATTAAGACAAGCTACTATGTTGTAATTTTAGTTAGCACCCTCTCAAATGCATACCTAATAATGTAAACACCATGTTATTCATTTTAATATTTCTTGATTAAAACTATCTGATAATTTGACCACAGAGAATAACTAATATTCTTCACTATGAAATGAAGCTCAAAACTAGTCTGGAACAACGCTCCATTGTGTGGCATTTTCTGGAATTAGTATTTTAAAATTTCCCCTGTACATTAGCAATATTTTTTATAAAAATATCTTAAAATATCTCATTACAATATTTGTTCAGAAATATTAATGATATTTATAAAATATTCTCTTAAACAGAGAAAGGATGAAGGTTGTATGAAATTGTTACATTAGAACATTTGGTGGGATGACAGATTATAATTTAAATCTCTTCTCAATCCACTCACTACATATTGGAATTAGTTCTGACTTCCAGTATCCATAAAGACTTAATTTTAGAAGTATGTGAAAAACTAACCACTCAGATACATCTCTTTTACATGGCATTGCTATAATTAACATTTGTAGAGAGACATGAAAAAAACTTTGTCACAAACCAGGAAGCCTAAACTTTTACCTTTCCTAAGACAGTGGAAAAATAAGCAAACAAGATCTTCTTTTGCTCACATGGAACATAGTTGATTTCCTTTTTATACATCCTTTCATGTCTAAACTTGTTAATTCAGTTGTATACACATGAGGCAATTAAGCGATTGTCCTTTTGTCCTTGTAACCAAGAGGTGGCACCTCCAAAATTTAGTCAGCTTTCAACAAAAACACTACATTACAAAGGGAAAAAAGCCAGTTAAGTGTCAAAGCCCTGGAAAGAAGATCTTGTTTTTGTGACTCTAGGTAATTCCACTTAGATAGCAGAGATAAATGCCTCAAATGGAAAATGTTTAGACAATAATATTCATTACACTGATGTTAAATGGAACCAGCGCTTATCTAAGTTGGTGTATAAACTTATACACTAAGATATGTGGTGAAAAAATACTTCCTGTGGTGCATAGATTAGTGTGGAAGATCAGGCAGAGTTCAGAAAGATGATTCCCTTTTCTCATCCCAAGTGACATGTACACACACAAAATAAACCTAAGACTCGGCATTTCCCCTGATAAATCAAAGGAAAGGGTTTATCTGGACGCTAGCATCGGCTGGCTGCTCTGCACTCATGTAGGACCCACTTGGAACGATTTCCCACTGCATCCAACTAGACACTTCTCTCTACTTTCTCCCATCTGACAGTCATCAGTTAGCTGTCTAGGATGCATAACAGGAAACATTGCTGATGGCATTAGAAATTGCCGAAGCTGCCGTCAAGGTCTGTTCAACAAGTACCTTTCACTTGACCTATTATGCAGGCAGTTAGGGCACATAGTGGTTTTGCCTCTTTCTCTTCCCTGAGAACAAAAACATTTCCCCCTTAAGATTTTTTTTTTTAATTTGAGGTTATCTTTCTACCATTACTTTCTAAACTTTGTTCCAGTACAAGAGGATTCTTGGCCAACTGAGCTTCCATATGCCTTCTAACTGGAGCAATGAAATTGTATAAACATCATGTTTACATCTATTAAATATTATTGTTATAAGGAAATAAGGCCGTGCATGAATTTGATAGCCGGGCAATAGAATGCAGATAGTAGAAAGGTAGAATGAAATGGCAATTCATACACAAATTAGCTGTAACAGAAAAGTTAAATGGTTGCTTTATTTCCCCAAAGGGTTAACTAATATTCAAGAAAGTGAAAATCAACATGCATGCAAAGCTAACGAGATCAGCTTTCTCAAAGTAGAAACCCAAGCCTCCTGGTAATACTGGTGTCACCTACGAATGTTTGTAACTTCACATTTTTTTTTTTGCCTTCCAACATAAAGGCCATACCAGAGAACCTCAGGGAAGTAATAATATGTTTTTAATTTTTTCTCTCTCTCTATGCAAGAAACACTTCAAAGTTCAGACATTACCACTGATGGGCAAATACCAAATAGCCCCACTGGACAGATGAAAACAGGAAAAGTCAGCTGGTTGGCACTTAAAAACAACAGCAATTAAGCAGTTGGATGTGGGTTGGATCGGCGGTTTATTTTTGATCCGTTCGAACGAATCAAGTGAGAGACATAGCCTCTTGCAAATAGGAGGTCGAGTCAAACTTGATGCTTCCCCTCTCTGACAGCCGGGCAGGATGGCTGGTCTACTCGCTCTGTTCAGTTTAATTGCTTTCTGCACTCTCATTCTCTCGGAGCTCGCATTCTCTCTGGCCCCTCTGCCCCCGCAGAAAGAAATCTTTCTCCTTTCTTCACTATCCCCTTCTTTCCTCGGAGAACAGGCAGTCCTCTCCAGGAGGAGAAAGAAACCCTGTGCGTGCTTAGGATGGCAGGAGGGTGAAGATGAAAAGGGGACGGAAAAGGGGGCGGGTGGAGGTGAGAGATGGAGATTGGGGCGGGGGATGAAGCGGGAGAGACGGAGCAGGAAGATGGGGGGTGCCCAATATCAACTCCAGCCTCTAAATCAGGGGCGCTGGGCAAAGTGCTTTGCCAGGAGATGCACATGTGGTCTCCGATTCCTCACAATAGGCCACCCCGGGCTCCCTCCGCAGGTCTCCTCGCCCACCACCAAAACCCAAAGGTACCGAGAACAAAATCTTGCAGAGGGATTCGAGCGAACAGGCACCACCAGGGTGGCCGCACCGCCGGTCCCGCCGCCTTACCTGCAGGGAAGACCAGGAGGTGGTGCGGGTTTTCGTCCCCACTGCTCTCCCCGGGTGGACCGCCTCGAAGGCGCACACGTCCTCTCGCTGCCTCTGTGCTTGGAGGGGCAGCCTGCAACACAAAAGGGGTGTGTGGGTGTGGGTGTGTGGGAGGTTTTCCAGGGCCACCAGCTGGTCCCAGCTGGCCGCCCCCACCCTACACACACCCCTTTGGGGCACTTCGCCCCCCTCTCGGCTGGGCACCACCCTGGGGGGGCTGGTCCGGCTGCAGCCTCAAGTTGCGGCCGCTAAGTACTGCTGCCGCCGCAGCAGAAGGAGGAGGTGGAAAGACACTGGGGGCAGGACTCGGTCTGGAGCATCCCCACACTGCAGCTTCTCCAGGAATCCCTCCAGTGAGGAGGCGGCCGCCCATCATCTCCCAGCCCCGGCCACCTGATTGGCTCCACCTCGGTACGCTGCGCCAAGGAGCCAATCCGGGCGCACTAATAATAGGTGGATCCCTCAGCCAACATCGCCCATCCCAGTTCTGTTAGTGTCTCTCCATCCCCACAGCGGACAGGGACCTGAAGAGGGGGGTGGAGGAGGGTTGGGGGAGGGGGGTCCCTGGGAGGGGGAGAGATCCCAAGGAGACGCTGTCAAGGGCACCCGATAAGCCCTTTGGGTACCCACAGGGATGCCCCACAACCTGTTCAGCCAGCCCGAAGCACGGGAGGAGACGGCATCATACAAAGCTATTTTTCTTTCTTTTCTTTTTTCTTTACTTTCAATCAAAACCTGCCCTGATACTGAGCATGCCCAGACGGGAACAGCGCCCTAGGAGTCCCGATGTGTGTGGGTTCCCAGGCTGTGGGTTTTTTTTGAAAAGGTGAGGTCAGGAAAAGAGGCAGAAGTTTGTCTTTGGCCTTTTGACCCGACAGAGTTGTGAAAGCAGAGCAGGGCGGGGCGGGGATATGGAAGGATTCCGCACGGGTGTCCGCACACGGAGCCACAGGAGGTGGCCTTCGAAGGTTAATAACATAATTCTAACGGGATTCGGGGGTGGAAGCAAGTGTAGATTAAGCTGAGCCTTGTTAGATGCCTAGAGACTTTTTGTGCAGGGGGTGCTGTGGACCAGGGAGACGCAGGGGAGCTGTGTCCCATAGGTGGGGCCCGGGAGCGCGACTCCACCCAGTAGCGCATCTAAGCTACCCGGCGGTGGGGAGCGCGCTGGGAGTTTCCGCTGCGGTGGCCAATAAGTTTGTAGACTTGGGTCAAGTGCGACATTGTTGGGGATGCAGTTTCTGCCAGCCTCCTCCTCCCTCCGCCCCATCTCTCTCCATCCATTGCCAGCACGGTGATGACTAAAGCGTGGGTTCCCTCCCTCCTTCCTCTCTTTCCCCCTGAACGATTCTGCTGGGAAGTAAGAAGCTTTTCCCTTGTGAGAGCTGTGCTGACCTGATTGTCTCTAAGCTCTAGGGCAATTTATAGCTTGGTAATACGGAGAGAGACCAAACTGCGAGGTTCCGCCAGTGGGGGAAGGGACTGTGAGCTGGTCGAGGGGCGGGGCAGAACCTCGCTGCCGTAGGAGCACCGCCTACTCAGCTCCACAGGTGCAGGGCTCTCAAAGGCAAAGAAGTAGTTCCCTTTCTCACTCACTGACCTTGTTCAATGGCCTTTGAACCTCTGATTTGTTTTGCTTAGAAACCCTAGCAGTTTGTGTCAATTTGACCAATAGCTACAAATGAGAACCCTCTTCATTGGGCTCTTGATTTTATTCAGAAGATTTTCATGACATCTCAGGTAAGGAAATACATAGCTAGCTCAATTCCCCAAGCCCATCCACTTTGAACTGGAGTTTCATTAACATTGGTTTGCAAAGGTAACTGTAGCAAGAATTCAATTAACAGTAACACATTTCTTCAAGCTTTAATTACAACTCTCCTATTTATGTAAAGTTTAAGATCCTTCTTCTAAGTATAGATGAGAACTTTAAGTATAAACGAATATTTTAATGACAAATAATTGTGTATTTTCCAGAATTGTAACTTTATGTAAATATTTATCTTTCATTTTCTAAAATATTCCTCAAATCTTATTTTAGAATAGTTTCGTAGTTGGAGAAATAAAATAATAAATATTAGTTTTAAATCAATTTTAAGTATTTGATGACAAAAAAGGAGGAAAAGGGGGTGAAGGAGGCAAAGAAACATCAATTACTTCTCTCAAATTGTTTTCCAATAAATGTCTTTGTATGAGGATTATTATTCTAATATACACCTAATAGACAGCTTTCTTCTAAATATAGTTGTTTATTCTAAATATAGATATTCTAAATATCTCCAAATTCCAGTAATTAAAAACTGTGTGTTTAATCGCTACATCAAGTGGCTGTATTTAGAAACAACTAAACTTATGTTAGAAGAAATGAGTGAGTAGAATATGAACCCAGATTAGTTAACTCTGTCTCAGACTCTGATCCCATTGTCAATATTTTAGCCAATTTCTCTTCAGTCTACCACACCTTCTATCCAACAACCACTCTCTCTCAGTGGTCAGAATCCTACACAACATACATGGTGTTAGATGTTCATATCCCAAAGTTACTTAAGGGTGACTGCTGGCTCACATAAGAAATGGGTTTTACATATATTATATAATTAACTTTAGGATAACATTTCTGTTTGTGAATACTAAGAAGACTCCACTTATATACTGGATGTGGATATGCTGTAGTTTTTTCAGGACTACAATTTTTATTCTCTCTCCTATGTTGTTGTTCCCCAAATTCAATTAATGGGCTGACTACCTCCATCTGGTCCTACTGGGCTGAACTCATACTTTTATGTTATAGAGAGTGTGTCATCTCTCCTGCCTTGATAGCAGACGCACCTCAATTTAAAAAAGAATCAGGTCAATTGTCCTTTCTCTCTATCTCATTCCTCAGGTACCTTTAAAAAAATATACTTTAATTAATTTTAGAGAGAGAGGAAGTGAGAGGGATAGATAGAAACATCAATAGGAGAGAAACATTGCTAGGCAGCCTCCTGCACGCCCCCTACTGGAGATCGAGCCCACAACACAGGCATGTGCCCCAAGCAGGAATCAACCCTGACATCTGAGCAACCACTGAGCAACACCAGCCTGGCTCTCAGGTACTTTTTAATCTAGAATCTCTAAGCCTCATACTACAAAGACTTAACTCATTTCCTGGTTGTGTGTCATTAAAAAAAATTACTTGGGGTTTCCAAAATTGTTTTCATCTCTTTTTTGTTTAATGTTTTGCTTCCTCATTTTTTGCTTTTAAAATACCAGATTTGTTAGTTTTTCCTTCACATTTTGCTCTGATTGAGATCCCATTGTCACCATTTTCTTTATTCCTGTTCCAATGGATTCATCTATTTACTACTTTAATGTTCCCTTTGCCATCTATTTTAGGCTACAGAATCAGAATAGAAACTAAATTGGATTGGGACACTGAGGAGAAAAGTGTGTCTTATGGCAAGAGTGGGAATTAAAGACCTTAGAAATAAGAAATTCATTAAGTGCAAATTTAGCCAAGATTTTCTGTAGACCATAGAAAGAATGCATGAAAGAGGTACCAAGAAAATTCGCTGTGAAAATTCTCTTGCATATTTAGTTGATCAATGGTATTAAAGAGTTCCATTTAATCAAGGCTCTCATATATCATTAAACTTCATATCTTTAATGTACACCCCCTTTCAACCTCAGGTAAAATCTATTCATAAGTGTCATTCTCCAGGGTTGTGAAAAAATAAAAACAATAACCAACTTTTCTACGTTTTGCTTATTGTTTGTATAGATTCATGTCTTTTTAAAACTTTTTATTCCTATGCATTTTCTGCCATTGCTTTTCAAGATACAGCCTTTGAACAGACAGAGGATTAAATGTTTGTTTTCTAGGGCAAGAATTTGGATAAAACTCTATCTTTATCACTAATTGCCTATGTGATTTTGAAAAGTGTACAATATCCCTCCAGTTTTTTTTTTCATCTGTACTAAGTACATAAGGACACCACATATATCCTTAGGTTTTGTGGTGGGTGTTTTTGTGAGGAATAAGTAAAACTGTGCTCAAGTGTTGTTCTAAGCACATAGCAAGGAATGATATTAACCATTATTATTGTTTTATCATTGCAATTAATTGTTGCTGCTACTGCTAATTTTTTTTTTCAGATTTCTAGGAGATTGGATTTCTTTCTGTCATATAATCATCTAATTAATTTTAACCCATGGTGAGTTATACTCACAATATTCTCTTAATCTATGTGCATTGAAGTTAGAAGAGAGTTAATCCATGTTATAAGAACTTATCAATATCTTGCATGTGTTGGCCTTATACTGTAGTCTTCCAGGAGATGAATAATTTGATTTTCAAAGAATTTGCACTTAAATTTTTTTCATAAAATTTAATTTCTATTACTTTTTAATATTAAGAAAAATATAATTCTAGTGCTAAAAGAAAAGGCACTCATGAACACTGACATTTTTATTTTCTAACAAACAAGTGGGGCCATCCATTTGGTGTCCCTTATACTTCTTTCTCTGAGAGTCATTTGGCCTGGCAGTACTGCTGATCATTTTATAGCCAACTGGTAAGGAAAAAAATCAGGGCTTTCACTATCAGAACTAGGTAAAGAGAAATTAACCACATGAACTTTAAACCGAACACCCACACCGCAAAATAAAGAGAATCTGAAATTGAGAGAGGGGAAAAAGAAATGAATAGATATGGGAGTCAAGACCCTGGGGCAGAGAATAAGAGCCTCATAATTGAACAACAATACTTTACAATTTTTAAGGAAAAGAAAATAAAGAGATAGCAGTATTCAATGTGGCTTTACAAAAAGCCTTTTCTTAAAGTTATGGCTAAGAAAATATTGGAAATGAAAAGGAGGACAGTGACTCAAAAAGTAATATACTGTGTCAGGCTGTTGAGGTTAGCAAGGAAAATATTATTTACGTGAATCTATCTCAAGGGCAAAATAAAAGTAGTTTGAGCTAATGTTAGCAAAGGTCTTAGACAGAAAACAAATGATATATCTTTCAAATACTCTATCATACAAGGAATATACTGTGTTAAAAACAAGTCTGCTAATAAAGCAAGAGCAACATTAAATTCTATGTTAACTTCCTTCAAAATCAGAGGGAGGATTGCTCTTTAACTGAAAAAATAGAGAATCAGAGTTCAGCTGCTTCATTCAATATATGTGGGGGGGAGGTGTTTCCAGAGATATTAATTCAGTTACTGAAAGGTATAGAGATAGTTAAGATAAGTGGGATGGGGGAGGAAGGCTATTTTGTGTTTTCAAGAAGCTAAAATATCCCAATAATATCATTTGAGAGAAAAGCATGGCAGACACTCAAGACCACTTCTTCAAAATTTGATTCTGGAATGATCTTCAGGGTTCTGATTGTGGGCAGGATAAACACATCT